CGCATATCATGATGCTTGCACCACCATGCTTCACTGTCTTCACAGTGTACTGTGGCTTGAATTCAGTGTTTGGGGGTCGTTTGACAAACTGTCTCCGGCCACTAGACCCAAAAAGAACAATCTTGCTTTCATCAGTCCACAAAATGTTGCGCCATTTATCTTTAGGCCAGTCAATGTGCTCTTTGGCAAATTGTAACCTCTTCAGCACGTCTTTTTTTCAACAGTGGGACTTTGCGGGGGCTTCTTGCAGATAGCTTGGCTTCACATAGGCGTCTTCTAATTGTAACAGTACTCACAGGTAACTTTAGACCTTCTTTGATCTTCCTGGAGCTGATTGTTGGCTGAGTCCTTGCCATTTTAGCTATTCTTCTACCCATTCGAATGGTAGTTTTTCGCTTTCTTCCACGTCTTTCAGGTTTTGGTTGCCATTTTAAAGCATTTGCAATCATTTTAGCTGAGCAGCCTATCATTTTCTGCACTTCTTTATATGTTTTCCCCTCTCTCCAATCAACTTTTTAATCAAGGTACGCTGTTCTTCTGAACAATGTCTAGAACGACTCATTTTCCTCAGAATTTCAGAGAGAAATGCACTGTAACCAGCATGTACAACATTTGCTGCCTTCCTTCCTTAAATAAGGGCAATAATTGCCACCTGTTTTTCAAAGAATGAATGCACCCAATTTAAGTCAAACTGACAGTGCGTCCTGACAGCCTACCCCTCAGCAAGGTATATTCACACATCCGCACTCCCTCACCCAGGGGCAAGGTGCGGGAAGGAGGGGTGGCTGCCCTGGGAAATATGGTGTACTGTAGGGATGAGGGAGCCCTCCTTCTGTTCCATGGCTGTCAGAAGTAGTGACAGTGAAGTGAATGACTGCTTGGCATAGGATCCCCTAATCTTGCAAATCATGAATGGGGGATGGGCCCAGTTTGGCATCTTTGCCATGGGCACTGAATGACCTTATCCTGGCACTGCCCTCACTGCCTCCCTACCATCAGAGGTCTGGCTCAACTGCTCTTATGGGGTGTGGCTTCAGGGTATGGGGGAGCATGCTACCTAACAGTGCTCAGCCCTTAGGCTAAGTTTAGGTATGTGTTAAAGAGTGTGTAAACCCAACATTACATATTCCTAATATGTGTCTACTATACCATGCACTTGTATGAAAAGGTATTCTGTTCTCTTTGTATTGCTTTATTTGTGTGAAATCTCTAGTGTTCCTACCAGTCCCTATGCTTTCCTATTAACCTCCCTAACGGTATTCCCGAGTGTAGCTCGGGGTAAAATGTCTATACCAAAAGCGGTAACCCCGAGCTACACTCGGGCTTACCATGCAGCGCTGTATAGGGAGGTCCCTGCAGCACTTACCTTGTCCTTCGCTCCCGCGATGTGTCCCCTGCAGCGTCCCCGGCCATCTCCTCCAGCTGATGCCGGCATCCGGCTCCTGTATTCCGGTCCCTGTGACGTCGGGACGTACGGGCGCCGGCGGCGGCGGGAGATTTGAAAATTTTAAAAAAATGTCTTTTTTTCAAAACGATTTTTCATGGTAAAAAACATTGCTGTTTCAACCCATTTCACATACATTTTGTCCCTACTGCTTTGTCCTGTCCCCTGTCTGCATTTTGATTGTTCTTTCTGCCTGGAAACTTAGAAAAATCCATGGCGTCCAAAAAGTGTCCCTTTAGGTCAAAAGCGGTTTAGACCGTCTAGAGAACAGCGATAGTAAATTAGAACTACTTGCAGAATTGAGTGATAATGATTCGTGGAGAAATTCGTCATCGAACACTGAAAACGATTTTGCGACTTTGCTCAGCGATGTGCGAACTTGGCGCTATATTTCAAATTTCAGTGTTTTTGGTTTGATTATATTATTGAATTAAATGTATGCTTTGGAATCTTGTTCAGGCAGATTTCAGTGAGTTATTCCTAAAAATTACAGGCCTACAATAAAAAAAAAACTACATATTTCCATGCAAGATAATTGTACCGCTTTCAGCACCAAAAATATGAAATAATCATACCGCTAGGGAGGTTAAACAATGACCACACTAAGTAGACATCATGACACATTATGGTCAGTTCTCTAGCTGTGCTGGGCCTGCTCTCCTCCAATGATCAGACATGTGCTCACATGCCCCACTGCACAGTCATTCACTGGGAAGATCAAGGTACTGCTTTTTCTCCACCCTCAACTCTCTATGCAGCTGAGAACAGAAGATATGCAAAGAGGAACAAAGGGTATTTATAATCTTTTTTTATATCTATACACAAATTCACAAGGTTTACATATACTTTAAAGTGTTACTAAACCCAGGACTCTGCATTCACTATATCTGGTCTCCCACAGTACACAGAACATGGAAATACAATTATTTTAGTAAATAAAACTGCTAAAATATCTTTTCTCATCCGCACTTAGAGCAGTCTTGTGACTTCTATATATGTCCAGCCCAGCACTAGTTAAAGCTTGTAAGAGAAGTTTTCTTTTTCCTCTAGGAGGATGCAAAACCCCTGACCTATATCTGGACAGTGCTGATTGGCCCTGTGCTAATCACATGCACTCTCCCAAGAAAAAAAAAACCTCTCTAGCAAAACACACCAAACTGAGCATGTGCATGCCTACGGATTAGTCTGAAGATAAGAGGTGGTCACTTGAAAAAGGGGAGGAACAGAGAAGAAAGGATCAAACAGCCTTTTTTCACAATGCAGAGGATTAACCCCTTAGGTTCCACAGTGAGTATAACAAGCATGCTTTACTGCATATACTGACTGATTTTACTGTTGTGGGTTTAGTAACACTTTAAAAAAGTGCGGTTGAGAAGTGTATTTAGAACCCCCCCCCCCCTCCAAGCTGCAATAGCAACAGATGGAGGTGTTTAAATGCCGTGTTTGTGATGCTTCACATCTGTAGCAAAAACTATCCAACATATTGTGATCAGCAAGCCCAATGAATGCAACCGATTCAAGCAAAAGCACGTGGTTGCAATGTGTTTGGCAAAAATAGGGTTAAAACGTAACCTAAGGGACAATCATTAAGCCTGAATGCTGTCACATAGGGAAGCAGTGACATCATCTACCATCATGGATAACTGTAGTGTGAAGGTGGCGAAGAAGTATAGATGGGTAAGTATACCTTGCCTGGGGGTTGCCTTTCAAGTGCCACTGTGACTTTGCCCTAAATAAGCAGGTGATAGTGTCCCTTTAATTCTACTCTGGCCATTTGCTTCAAACAGACATAATGTATTTTGCTATAAATAATTTGTATTACTTTTCTCATAAGTGCTGAATATTTCTGTACCTTCTCCACATTTTCTGTCCTCTGCCAAAGACAACGTCATTTGAACGAAAGCCAATATGTCTGTAACTACATTTCCTCGTTCTTTTATTACGTTAATTATATTTAGGAAGAAAATGCATTCATATGTGGAAAAATCTTCTTTTATTCTGCTTCCTTTGGCTGACAGATGGTTACATCCTATCATGTAATATGATTTAAGTCACAGGAAACGACACCAGTTCTTGTCAGAGTCCTTTGCTGTATAATCAGTTGACTTCCCCACATAAGGGGGCAGGGCACTAAACGGAACGCTCACATTAATACATCAACGTCTCGGAAATTTATTGCTGGAGAAAGGGGTAATGTAATGCGCATTGTTTCTGTTTAAAGAGAAGCAATAATTCATTTGGGTTCATTCGAATTTACATTTTTTGTTTACTGTATAATAATTGTTTTCCCATGTAATTAAAAAAAAAAACTTGTGGAATACAAATAAAAACAATTAACATGGTGGGCACCAAAGATGCTGGTGTCACAGAGCATTATGGGCTTTTCTAAATAGAGAGAGCACACTGCAATAGCCATTTTTTACAGAGCAGGGAGAGAGAGGGTTATTTATCTTATTTAGCTGTGTGCGTATTTTTTTTTATTTTTTATTTAATATCAGAGAGTACAGTAAAAAAAAGTTGGTTGAATTGTAAAATGCAAAAAAACAATGCAAATTTGAGGACAAATGTTTGTGATCATAATTTACCTGCATCAGCTTGGGCTCCATCCACTAGGGGTTAACGGGCAAGTTCACCTTTTAGCTCTGTGGCTCCCATATCAAAGTTTTTTTTTGTTTGGGTGTATAATATTACCTGTTATCTATAATGGTCAATGATGGGAAAGGAAAGGATAACACAAGGAGTAAGATTGCACAGTGGAGGCGTAGTATCAAAGATACAGAGACTGCATCAGGAAAGAACAAAAATTTGGGGGATGTAATTTTAACTTCAGCCGTTGAGCTCCGTAAACAGTAGACATTTTTTACCAAATTGTTTAACTTGTTATGGTAAACAAAGGAAAGGAAGTCTAGAGCTCCATCTGCTGGCTGAAAACTATAAATACAAACACTGAAATTATGTTATTAACCACTTTCCCTTCTGAGGAGTCTCCCCCCTTACTGACCCAGCCATTTTTTGTGATACGGCGCTGCGTTATTTGAACTTTCTTTTACTTTTAAACTTTTAATTGCGTAGTCATGCAACACTGTACATAAATGAAATTTATGTCCTTTTTTTACCACAAATAGAGCTTGTTTTCGGTGATATTTGATCACCTCTGCGGTTTTTATTTTTTCTGCTATAAACAAAAAAAGACTGACAATTTTGAAAAAAAAAAACAGTATTTTTGACTTTTTGCTATAAAACATATCCAGTAAAGAAAATTTAAAAAAAAAACTAAATTTCTTCATAAATTTAGGCTAAAATGTATTCTGCTACATCTTTGCTAAAAAAAAAATCCCAATACGTGTAAATGAATTGGTTTATGTGAAGGTTATAGCATCTACAAATGGCAGTATATATACATTGGAATTTTTATACTAGTAATTAGAGATGAGTGAAGTATTCAAAAATTCGATTCGACTGATTCGGCGAATTCGTGAAAAAATTTCGATTCGAGTCGAATATATTCGCTGTGAATTTAACTTAAAAAAGGGTGTTTCTAGGCTTCAGAGAGACTTAATATTAGTGCAGAACACTGTACCTTTAATTTAAATGCCCTTGGAGTCTGCTGGGAAGAGAAATAATTCTGTCAGTCAGTATGACATGCAGATGAGTGCCGTCGATCTTAGAATCACCGCACACTTCACTCATTTGGGCAGTCACGGGGCCAAAACCAGAGTGTGGAGCCACAGTGTGGCGGTGGAGGCAGCAGCAATGGGAGGCCATACAGCACCCTATGACAAAAATGGAAACCACCAGCAGTGTGAGGAGACCTGAAAGTGGCACATGGCAGAGTGTGGCGATAGAGACAGCAGCAATGGGAGGCCGTACAGGGACCCATGACACACTCTGGACCTGGCAGCAGCATGAGGAGGCGGTACAGGGGCCCATGACAGATTACGGGCCTGGCAGCAGCATGAGGAGTCGGTACGGGGGCCCATGGCAGATTACGGGCCTGGCAGCAGCAATGGGAGGCCGTACAGGGACCCATGACACACTCTGGGACCTGGCAGCAGCATGGGGAGGCGGTACAGGGGCCCATGACAGATTACGGGCCTGGCAGCAGCATGAGGAGTCGGTACGGGGGCCCATGACACACTCTGGACCTGGCAGCAGCATGAGGAGGCGGTACAGGGGCCATGACAGATTACGGGCCTGGCAGCAGCAACTTGGACATCGGTACGGGGGCCCATGGCAGATTACGGGCCTGGCAGCAGCAAACTGTTGGCCGTACTTGGAAACGGATTCCAAGACACACTGCTGGAACCTGGCAGCAGCATGGGGAGGGGCATCTGAACGAGCGGAATATGCCAACAAGCAACAACAGGGGCCCATGACAGATTACGGGCCCTGGCAGCAGCATGGACAGGAGGAGTCGGTACGGGGGCCCATGCAGATTAGGGGCCTGGCAGCAGCTATGGGAGGCCCGTAATCTGCCAGAACCCTATGACAAAAAATGACGGAACCCACCAGCAGTGTAGGAGACCTGAAAGTGGCACATGGCGAGAGTGTGGCGATGGAGACAGCAGCAATGCAGGCCAACAGGGACCCATGAGAGACTCTGGACCTGGCAGCAGCATGAGGAGGCGGTATAGGGGCCCATGGCAGATTAGGGGCCTGGCAGCAGCTATGGGAGGCCCGTAATCTGCCAGCACCCTATGACAAAAAATGGAACACACCAGCAGTGTGAGGAGACCTGAAAGTGGCACATGGCAGAGTGTGGCGATGGAGACAGCAGCAATGGGAGGCCGTACAGGGACCCATGAGAGACTCTGGACTGGCAGCAGCATGAGGAGGCGGTATAGGGGCCCATGGCAGATTAGGGCCTGGCAGCAGCTATGGGAGGCCCGTAATCTGCCAGCACCCTATGACAAAAAATGGACACACACCAGCAGTGTGAGGAGACCTGAAAGTGGCACATGTGTTTGGGGCATGATTCATGGCGGATTTAGTCAGTTGTGTCAGGAACTGGTGGTTTGAAATCCAGACTAATCCACGCCTGATTCATTTTCACAAACGTGAGTCTCTCCACACTTTGGGTGGACAGTCGTGTCCTCCGCGGAGTTGCAATACCTCCTGCCGCACTAAACACGCGCTCCGATGCCACGCTACTGGCCGGGCATGACAGCCTTTCAAGGGCAAATTCAGCTAGTTGGGGCCAAAGGTCAAGTTTCGTTGCCAGTAGTCAAGGGGATTGTCTACCTCGGTTGGCAGGGTGCTGTCCAAGTAGGCCTAAGCCTGTTGTTTGAGGTCCTGCTCCAGGTCCACCTGATGATGCTGCTGCTGCTGCTGCTGCGGCTGGTTAGTAGTTTCCTCACTGCGCTGGTGAAGAAAGCTACTCATCATCGACTGCAGACTGAGGCAGCTGCTGCTGGTGGAGCTGCCACTGCTCCTACCACCCCCCCCACCCCTCCCCTGCTGCCATGGCAGCGGAACGCGAGCGCACAGGGCCCACAGTGTCTGAGGATGGACGTTGGCGCAGACAGGCAGAGACCAGCTGACTACATAGGTGGTTTTTTTATAGTACGTTATTTTGGCCTCCCTCTCAGCAGGTGTGAAAAAGGCCACCATTTTTGAACGGTAGCGAGGGTCCAACAAGGTGGACAGCCAAAAGTCATCCCTCTGTCTGATGGTTATTATTCGGCTGCTACGCAAGCAAGCGAGCATGCTATGGGCCATTTGTGCCAAGGAATGCGAGGGGACTCCCTGCCTCCATCTCCACAGCATACTGCCACGGTGCGTCTGGGGTCCTCTGTCTCCTCTTCCTCTCCTCTCCTCTACCAGATGCTCCTGCTCCTCCACTCCTGTCCGCTGAGTGGAAAAACCACCCATTTCACTCAATAATTCCTGAGCACCAATGTCCTCCTCTACCTCCTCCTCTTCTTCCTGTCCTGCCCCCACAGGGGTCATGTGGCGTTGAGATCTGTGCGCCACGTCTACCGCACCCTGACCAGCCATTGTTAACAGCATTTGTTCCAGGACGTGCAACAGAGGAATGACGTCATTCATCCCATAGTCCTGCCGACTCACGAATAGCGTGGCCTCCTCAAAGGGCCTGAGCAAGCGCAGGTGTCACGCATGAGCTGCCAATGGCTGACATCTAAGTTACACAGGGAGTACCTTTATCCGCTTTTAACATCAGGAAATCTGTGATGGCCTTTTGCTGTTCGTAAAGGCGGTCTAACATATGTAGGGTTGAATTCCACCTTGTTGCAACGTCACAGCATGAGGAGTCGGTACGGGGGCCCATGGCAGATTACGGGCCTGGCAGCAGCAATGGGAGGCCCGTAATCTGCCAGCACCCTATGTCAAAAAATTCAACACACCAGCAGTGTGAGGAGACCTGAAAGTGGCACATGGCAGAGTGTGGCGATGGAGACAGCAGCAATGGGAGGCCGTACAGGGACCCATGAGAGACTCTGGACCTGGCAGCAGCATGAGGAGGCGGTATATAGGGGCCTATGGCAGATTAGGGGCCTGGCAGCAGCTATAGGAGGCCCGTAATCTGCCAGCACCCTATGTCAAAAAATTCAAACACACCAGCAGTGTGTGAGGAGACCTGAAAGTGGCACATGGCAGAGTGTGGCGATGGAGACAGCAGCAATGGGAGGCCGTACAGGGACCCATGACAGACTCTGGACTTGGCAGCAGCATGAGGAGGCGGTATATAGGGGCCTATGGCAGATTAGGGGCCTGGCAGCAGCTATAGGAGGCCCGTAATCTGCCAGCACCCTATGTCAAAAAATTCAACACACCACCAGCAGTGTGTGAGGAGACCTGAAAGTGGCACATGGCAGAGTGTGGCGATGGAGACAGCAGCAATGGGAGGCCGTACAGGGACCCATGACAGACTCTGGACTTGGCAGCAGCATGAGGAGGCGGTATATAGGGGCCCATGGCAGATTAGGGGCCTGGCAGCAGCTATGGGAGGCCCGTAATCTGCCAGCACCCTATGTCAAAAAATTCAACACACCAGCAGTGTGAGGAGACCTGAAAGTGGCACATGGCAGAGTGTGGCGATGGAGACAGCAGCAATGGGAGGCCGTACAGGGACCCATGAGAGACTCTGGACTTGGCAGCAGCATGAGGAGGCGGTATATAGGGGCCCATGGCAGATTAGGGGCTGGCAGCAGCTATGGGAGGCCCGTAATCTGCCAGCACCCTATGTCAAAAAATTCAACACACCAGCAGTGTGTGAGGAGAGACCTGAAAGTGGCACATGGCAGAGTGTGGCGATGGAGACAGCAGCAATGGGAGGCCGTACAGGGACCCATGACAGAGACTCTGGACTTGGCAGCAGCATGAGGAGGCGGTATATAGGGGCCTATGGCAGATTAGGGGCCTGGCTGGCAGCAGCTATGGGAGGCCCGTAATCTGCCAGCACCCTATGTCAAAAAATTCAACACACCAGCAGTGTGTGAGGAGACCTGAAAGTGGCACATGGCAGAGTGTGGCGATGGAGACAGCAGCAATGGGAGGCCGTACAGGGACCCATGAGAGACTCTGGACTTGGCAGCAGCATGAGGAGGCGGTATATAGGGGCCCATGGCAGATTAGGGGCCTGGCAGCAGCTATGGGAGGCCCGTAATCTGCCAGCACCCTATGTCAAAAAATTGAACACACCAGCAGTGTGTGAGGAGACCTGAAAGTGGCACATGGCAGAGTGTGGCGATGGAGACAGCAGCAATGGGAGGCCGTACAGGGACCCATGAGAGACTCTGGACCTGGCAGCAGCATGAGGAGGCGGTATATAGGGGCCCATGGCAGATTAGGGGCCTGGCAGCAGCTATGGGAGGCCCGTAATCTGCCAGCACCCTATGTCAAAAAATTCAACACACCAGCAGTGTGAGGAGACCTGAAAGTGGCACATGGCAGAGTGTGGCGATGGAGACAGCAGCAATGGGAGGCCGTACAGGGACCCATGAGCAGACTCTGGACCTGGCAGCAGCAGCATGAGGAGGCGGTATAGGGGCCCATGGCAGATTAGGGGCCTGGCAGCAGCTATGGGAGGCCCGTAATCTGCCAGCACCCTATGTCAAAAAATTCAACACACCAGCAGTGTGAGGAGACCTGAAAGTGGCACACATGGCAGAGTGTGGCGATGGAGACAGCAGCAATGGGAGGCCGTACAGGGACCCATGACAGACTCTGGACCTGGCAGCAGCATGAGGAGGCGGTATATAGGGGCCTATGGCAGATTAGGGGCCTGGCAGCAGCTATGGGAGGCCCGTAATCTGCCAGCACCCTATGTCAAAAAATTGAACACACACCAGCAGTGTGTGAGGAGACCTGAAAGTGGCACATGGCAGAGTGTGGCGATGGAGACAGCAGCAATGGGAGGCCGTACAGGGACCCATGAGAGACTCTGGACCTGGCAGCAGCATGAGGAGGCGGTATAGGGGCCCATGGCAGATTAGGGGCCTGGCAGCAGCTATGGGAGGCCCGTAATCTGCCAGCACCCTATGTCAAAAAATTCAACACACACCAGCAGTGTGAGGAGACCTGAAAGTGGCACATGGCAGAGTGTGATGGAGACAGCAGCAATGGGAGGCCGTACAGGGACCCATGACAGAGACTGCACCTGGCAGCAGCATGAGGAGGCGGTACAGGGGCCCATGGCAGATTAGGGGCCTGGCAGCAGCTATAGGAGGCCCGTAATCTGCCAGCACCCTATGTCAAAAAATTGAACACACCAGCAGTGTGAGGAGACCTGAAAGTGGCACATGGCAGAGTGTGGCGATGGAGACAGCAGCAATGGGAGGCCGTACAGGGACCCATGACAGACTCTGGACCTGGCAGCAGCATGAGGAGGCGGTATATAGGGGCCCATGGCAGATTAGGGGCCTGGCAGCAGCTATAGGAGGCCCGTAATCTGCCAGCACCCTATGTCAAAAAATTCAACACACCAGCAGTGTGAGGAGACCTGAAAGTGGCACATGGCAGAGTGTGGCGATGGAGACAGCAGCAATGGGAGGCCGTACAGGGACCCATGACAGACTCTGGACCTGGCAGCAGCATGAGGAGGCGGTATATAGGGGCCCATGGCAGATTAGGGGCCTGGCAGCAGCTATAGGAGGCCCGTAATCTGCCAGCACCCTATGTCAAAAAAAATTCAACACACCAGCAGTGTGAGGAGACCTGAAAGTGGCACATGCAGCAGAGTGTGGCGATGGAGACAGCAGCAATGGGAGGCCGTACAGGGACCCATGACAGACTCTGGACTTGGCAGCAGCATGAGGAGGGGTATATAGGGGCCCATGGCAGATTAGGGGCCTGGCAGCAGCTATAGGAGGCCCGTAATCTGCCAGCACCCTATGTCAAAAAATTCAACACACCAGCAGTGTGAGGAGACCTGAAAGTGGCACATGGCAGAGTGTGGCGATGGAGACAGCAGCAATGGGAGGCCGTACAGGGACCCATGACAGACTCTGGACTTGGCAGCAGCATGAGGAGGCGGTATATAGGGGCCTATGGCAGATTAGGGGCCTGGCAGCAGCTATAGGAGGCCCGTAATCTGCCAGCACCCTATGTCAAAAAATTCAACACACACCAGCAGTGTGAGGAGACCTGAAAGTGGCACATGGCAGAGTGTGGCGATGGAGACAGCAGCAATGGGAGGCCGTACAGGGACCCATGACAGACTCTGGACTTGGCAGCAGCATGAGGAGGCGGTATATAGGGGCCTATGGCAGATTAGGGGCCTGGCAGCAGCTATGGGAGGCCCGTAATCTGCCAGCACCCTATGTCAAAAAATTCAAACACACCAGCAGTGTGTGAGGAGACCTGAAAGTGGCACATGGCAGAGTGTGGCGATGGAGACAGCAGCAATGGGAGGCCGTACAGGGACCCATGACAGACTCTGGACTTGGCAGCAGCATGAGGAGGCGGTATATAGGGGCCTATGGCAGATTAGGGGGCCTGGCAGCAGCTATGGGAGGCCCGTAATCTGCCAGCACCCTATGACAAAAAATGGAACACACCAGCAGTGTGTGAGGAGACCTGAAAGTGGCACATGTTTGAGGCATGATTCATGGCGGATTTAGTCAGTTGTGTCAGGAACTGGTGGTGGTTTGAAATCCAGACTAATCCACGCCTGATTCATTTTCACAAACGTGAGTCTCTCCACACTTTGGGTGGACAGTCGTGTCCTCCGCGGAGTTACAATACCTCCTGCCGCACTAAACACGCGCTCCGATGCCACGCTACTGGCCGGGCATGACAGCCTTTCAAGGGCAAATTCAGCTAGTTGGGGCCAAAGGTCAAGTTTCGTTGCCCAGTAGTCAAGGGGATTGTCTACCTCGGTTGGCAGGGTGCTGTCCAAGTAGGCCCAAGCCTGTTGTTTGAGGTCCTGCTCCAGGTCCACCTGATGCTGCTGCTGCTGCTGCTGCTGCTGCGGCTGGTTAGTAGTTTCCTCACTGCGCTGGTGAAGAAAGCTACTCATCATCGACTGCAGACTGAGGCAGCCGCTGCTGGTGGAGCTGCCACTGCTCCTACCACCCCACCCCTCCCCTGCTGCCATGGCAGCGGAACGCGAGCGCACAGGGCCCACAGTGTCTGAGGATGGACGTTGGCGCACAAAGGCAGAGACCAACTGACTACATAGGTGGTTTTTATAGTACGTTATTTTGGCCTCCCTCTCAGCAGGTGTGAAAAAGGCCACCATTTTTGAACGGTAGCGAGGGTCCAACAAGGTGGACAGCCAAAAGTCATCCCTCTGTCTGATGGTTATTATTCGGCTGTCGCTCGCTACGCAAGCAACCGAGCATGCTATGGGCCATTTGTGTGCCAAGGAATGCGAGGGACTCCCTGCCTCCATCTCCACAGCATACTGCCACGGTGTGTCTGGGTCCTCTGTCTCCTCCTCCTCCTCCTCTCTACCAGATGCTCCTGCTCCTCCACTCCTGTCCGCTGAGTGGAAAAACCACCCATTTCACTCAATAATTCCTGAGCACAAATGTCCTCCTCTACCTCCTCCTCTTCTTCCTGTCCTGCCCCCACAGGGGTCATGTGGCGTTGAGATCTGTGCGCCACGTCTACCGCACCCTGACCAGCCATTGTTAACAGCATTTGTTCAAGGACGTGCAACAGAGGAATGACGTCGTTCATCCCATAGTCCTGCCGACTCACGAATAGCGTGGCCTCCTCAAAGGGCCTGAGCAAGCGGCAGGTGTCACGCATGAGCTGCCAATGGCTGACATCGAAGTTACACAGGGGAGTACCTTTATCCGCTTGTAACATCAGGAAATCGGTGATGGCCTTTCTGCTGCTCGTAAAGGCGGTCTAACATGTGTAGGGTTGAATTCCACCTTGTTGCAACGTCGCAGATCAGGCGATGATGTGGAATTCCGTTCTGCCGCTGCAGCTCAATGAGGGTGTGCTTTGCGGTGTAGGAATGGCTGAAATGCATGCAAAGTTTACGTGACATTTTAAGGATGTCTTGCAGTGGGATGGTGGATTTTAGGAACCGCTTGACAACCAGATTGAACACGTGAGCCATGCATGGCGCATGGCACAACCTTCCTTGACGCAGAGCAGACACCATGTTCTTTCCGTTGTCGGTCAACATGGTTCCGATTTTCAGTTTGCGCGGAGACAGCCATCTGTCGATTTCTCTGTTCATTACACTCAGAAGTTCCTCCCCTGTGTGACTACGTTCGCCAAGGCATACCAGGTGCAGAACAGCGTGACACCGTTGCGCCCTGCACATGTGATATGCCGGTCGGGTAATGGGACTTGGCACGGGGGTGGCGGCTGAGGACACGGCGGAAGAAGAGGTGGTAGAGGCGGACATCTTTTGTGGACCAAGGACGTGCAAACGTGGAGGCAAAAGCGGCGTGACCTGTCCAAGTTGCTGGTGCGGCTGTGACGGCACCACGTTCACCCAGTGGGCCGTAAATGACATGTACTGTCCCTGACCGTAGTTACAGCTCCACACGTCGGCGCTGCCGTGCACTTTGGCAGAGACCGACATGCTCAAAGACTGGCCCACCATCTCTTCTACATGTGAATGCAGGGCTGGCACTGCCTTTTTGGCGAAGAAATGACGGCTTGGCACTCTCCACCGCGGCGCGGCACAAGCCATCATTTCTCGGAAAGGTGCTGAGTCCACCACTTGGAAAGGGAGGGACTGCAGCACCAGCAACTTGGACAGGAGGACGTTCAGCTTTTTGCACCGTCGGGTGCAAGAAAGACTGCTGACGGAATCCGTGAAGAGGAGTAGCAGGAGAAGGAGCATCTGAACGAGCGGAAGATGCCAACGAGCGACAACTCCCCTCAGCAGAGGTGTTGGAGCCTTGACTGGCTGATGGAGGGCGATTGACGTCGGGTGAACGGAGCAAGTAACGGAGGCGGCGTGATGGAGCGGGGGCTGAGGCGGGCAGAACCGCCGTATCTTT